TGCAGGCACGTGTGCAGTGTGGGCAGCACATCCGCAGACCCGCGGCCCTCCGGGAGCTGGGCTTGCCAGGCTGGTCGGGAGCCCAAGCCAAGGCACCTGTGTTTCCAGCTCCAAGCGAGTCCTGGCGTGTGGCCTCCACAGACTCGCAGCCGTGGGACCTCGATTCTGGGAACATGGACTCGGAGGGGAGGGGGATGTGTGGAGGGCAGATCTGGGAGACAGAGAGGGCATCACGCAGGCCACACGGGCCCCAGCTTCCTCAGGCCAAGTCATTGTGGCCTGGATGACACCACCCCACAAGATCAACCTTCCTGGTGCCCCATGTTCGGTTCTGTTTCCAGGCAGACGGAGGTTCCGGTCCTCCCTCTGCTGCCTCCTATCAGGCGCCTCGAGCCAGTTGTCTGAGCCTGTTCCCCATCTATGCTGCAGGGATCTGCTGCTGTCTTGAGTAAAGAAGGCGAGACCTCCCCAAGTGGCTAAGGTCCTCGAGTGGGAGGCTACAGGGGGCATAGGCCTCAGCTCTGCGACACTTGTAGAAATTCCATGTTGGGGGGTTGGGGGGAGGAGAATTGGCCAAAATGTCTAAAAACAAAATTTAACTGAGAGTGAGAGAGAAACAAGCCCCAGCCCTTCATGGAATGCAAAGCCCAGATTAATCCATTTTTCTTGAATCAGAGTCGAACTCGTCAGGCCTGGGCGGGAAGGCCCACCTGGTCTGAGATGATGGATACACACCCTGGACGACCTGCCCATCAGCTCGGAATCTCAGGGCTCCAGGACAGGACAGCATCCCCACCCCCGTGAGAGGGCTCGACCGGGCTAACAGGCCGCACATCTAGACTCAAGGACAGTCTGCCCCCGTTGGTGCCAATTCAGCCCCTCAGGGGGCAGATGCTCACTTCTGTGCTCTGAGCCACTGTCTCCGGGGCCTCCGGGTGAGGCCTCTGCAGAGAAGGCAGCCTTGGGTCTCAGAGAGGCTCATCACATGCCCTTGACTCGGATGTCGGGTGCGCACCATGGAAATTTTCTGACATTATGTTTATGGCATTCAGAAAGTGACAAGACAGAGATGGTTGTACGTCCCAGAGCAGCCCTGACACCTGGCAGGTGCTTGCCCGGGCACTGCTTCCCCAGAGGGTCCCCCAGGTACAGCAGCCCCTCCACCGCCCCTCAACTCCTCCTGCCACAGTCCCCACCCGCCATCACTTCTCAGCCGCCTCCCTGCCTGGCACCTGGAACTATGGTGGGGAGGACCCTCTGTCCTTGGAGCTCTGTGCCCTCCATCAAGACCCCGCAGACATGCAGCACCCGCTTGGCCAGCAAACCTGCACCTCCCTGACTGCCCGGCACCCCCTCTGCCAGGCGGGGGTCCTCCTCTGCCTACTCAGTCCCTGGGGCGTGGGCTCCTGCGACGTGAGCCCCCTGCGTGCAAACTGCCACAGCCAACAGAGCCCGACCTCAGACCCCGCACGGCCCACGCGGAGGCACCCACGCCCCTCGCCACCGCTGGCCCAGGCCTACCTGTTGGGATTGTAGTCAAGCGCGCCCACCTCCTCACTGGCCTGCAGCAGGTCCAGGATGCCCGCGGCCGAGCCCCCGCCGTCCTTCTTCACTTTGGCGTTGCGGGTGGGCTTGGTGTCCGTGTCGATGCGCAGGGAGCCCTCATCCGAGGAGTCGTCGCTCGGCTGTGGGGATGGGGAGCCGGTCAGAACAGAGCTGGGGGGAGCGACAGGACTACCGTTCCCCTTGACAAAAAAAAAAAAGTTTTTAAAAATTAAAAAATAAAATAAGGAAAAATAAAAAATGTGAGATCCCAACCTGTGATGAGCATGTGGGGCTGGCTGGCCAGACGCCCCGGGTGGTTACCAGGGTTTTCCATCGGGATTGTGGAGCCTGCCCGCAAAGGACCCGGCACCATCCTGCCCAGCAGTTTCCCAGAGGAATCCTGGGCCCCAAGACCGTACGCAGGAGCCCCGGTATTGAGCTCAGGTACAAAGGAGTCAGCGCGGTCAGGTGAGGAGCAGACAGGAGGACTCCCCCGACCCAAGGCTCCAGTTAAGTCCTGGCAGGAGGCTCTGAGGGGAAACTCCAGGCTCCCCGGGCAGCAGGGGAGACCCCCATGCAGACCCCAGGCTCACTGGAGACAGCCACCACATCGTGGTTGGATGAGGCCTTACCAGTCGTCTAACTTAGTTCCCCAGCAGGTCCAGCCCTGCTCTGCACCCGATCCTCAGGGTCAATAAGGCATCGTCTTCATGGCATCTGGCTGGGCGCTCCTGAGGCCCACCCCTTGCACAGACCTGCAGACCCTCCACACCCCGCACCTGCTGCTCTCCCCGCTTCTGTGCAAGGCCTTAGGCTCACGTCCCCATGGCTGGCACCCAGCCAGCCTCCCCACAAAAACTCCAAGAAGAGGGCGGCACATGAAGACACTCGGCCGCACCCCAAGCGGAAAGCGCACAAGCACAGCCACGGGGTCCCCGAAGGAGCTCACCTTGTAGAGCGCCGAGTCCAGCTTTGGCTTCGTCACAGGTGTGGGCAGCGGCTCCTTCCTGTCCAGTAAGACTGAGACCAAAGCAGACGGGAGTTGGTGGTGGCTTTGAGAGGATCGCTCTGGCCAGCCACGCCTGACACCCACCCTCTGCAGGATGGCCTTACAGGGCTGGGTCTGCCCCTCCACGTCCCCCCAACTTACAGGACAGGTCTCTCTTCGGGGCATTTTTCTTCCTCCTGATGGGAAACTCATCAATCTTGAGCTCCCCGTCATCCGACACGTACTCATACTCATCCCGAACGGGCTGGGGCTTGTCCTCCTTGAAGTTCTGCAAGGCCCCAAACACCCCTGGGCTCGGCTGCGGCTTGAGGGCCTTGGAGCTGGGACAGAAGTGGACTGGTCAGTGGGGGTCCACATGGCCCAGCCAGTGCCCCACCACTCTGCCACGGACGCAGAGGGTCAGCAGTCATGCCGAACACTGCCCGATCCCACAGCTCCCTCCCAGATGCCATGGGCCGGCGAGGACAGCGCACAGCTCACGAGGTATGGCCTGGCCCTCCCCGCCCACGCAAGGCCTCTCCTTGAGTTGTCTCACGGTGTGCCCTGCACTGCCCCACCCTGGCCACTGGACCAGCATGGCCTTCCTTCTGCCTGCCCCACAAGCTCTGGCCGCAGCCTCCCCCTGGCTCGGGCCTAGGGAGACAGAGGCTGGGCTACAGCTCTAATCCCCAGCTGTAGAAACACAGAGGCTGACCACCGGCGAGCCTGCTGGGTGTGGGTATGAGCCGGTAACACCACACACACACACACAGGTGTGACGTGGTTACAGAGTCATGTCCACCTTCCTCTCCCGCACTTCTAAACTCTCTGTAGCATGGTGGGTCCCAGAGTGAACGCGTTTGAAAGCTCTCCAGGACGAGCTCAGAGCCATGAGGTCAGGGTGACAGGGCCGCAGACCAGACCCTTCCCGCCTGCTCACGGAGAGTCCTCGGCACGTGGCCATGCGTTCTTGGGAATGATGGTCCTGCCTACCCGGCTCTGCCTGGTCACCAGGTGCCGGCCCCGCTCCACTGCTCCGCCACCTGGAGTGGCTTCCCCTCCCATTTCCCAGGTGAAGAAACAGGCCCACCACAGAAAAGGGGCCCATTCCGCTGCGCTGTATCTGCTTCCTGGCTTAGGGGCACTCAACCTGGACTTGACTCAGCAAGCAACCTGTGGGCCCACAGTTGGTGAGACTAATCAGGGGCATGAAGCCCGTCCTGTACACCTGGCACTGGGCTGGGCTGGCATGCTGTCAGCAGACACGGGCCTGTTCCACCATCTGGAAACCACACACCCACTCCCAAGCTGGCACCCCAATGTCTCAGCTCAGGTCACCTCCTCTTGGAAGCCCTCTCAAGTCCCTTGGCACACAAGGACCCACAGTCCTTGTCACAGGCGTAATTTTAGGTGGATTTGAGAGTACTGGGTTCACGCTGCCCCCCACACTGGCCTCTGGCCTCCAAGGACAGGGTCCTGACCTCCACTACATCCTCTGCCCCAAACAGCACTTAGCTAATATCTACCCAATCATGCTCTCCCCTCCCTTTCTCCCTCCCTCCCTGCCAACACACGCTGCTGTCCCTCCCCATCCACACAAGCTATTGGCTTAGGAGGCAGAGGAGGGGCCTGCCCGGCGTGGCCCTCACAAGGGGTATTCCCAGTGACGTCAGCCAGTTCAGGAAGGGGCTGCTCCTGAGGAGACCTCCAGGTAAGTGTGTGTGTGCAGGGTGGGTATGGAGGGGTGTGCAGGGTCTGTGTGATGTGTGTGGAGGGGTGTGCTGTGCATGGAGGGGTGTGCAAGGGTATGTGGATGATGTGTGTGTAGGGATGTGCTGTGCATGGAGGGGTGTGCAAGGTGTGATAACTCACATATGATGTGTGTGATGTGTGGGGAGGAGTGATTTATTTTCCTCTCAGTGGCTCTTACCCTTACCCTGGGGGAAAAGAAAAGCTTAAACACCCTTAGACTATTGCCTGTGTGTGCAGGGGTGTGCTGTGCATGGAGGGGTGTGCAAGGGTATGAGTGCATGTGGATGATGTGTGTGATGTGTGTGGAGGGGTGTGCAGGGTATGAGTGCATGTGCATGATGTGTATGAGTGTGGAGGGGTGTGCAAGGTGTGAGTGCATGTGTATGATGTGTGTGAAGGGGCGTTCAGGGTGTGTGATGTAGGGGGTCTGGGAGTGTGTGTGTGACTGTGACCCCTCCTGCTGGGAGCATCACGTACCCCAGAAGTTTCTTGTTGGAAAAGGAAAATAAGAATTTGGTGTCCTTGTTCCCCGATGTAGGAGGCTTCTCCAACTTCTGCTCTTCCTCCATCTTCAGCAGGGAGTCAGGTTTGCTATTCTGAAAAGTAAACCCAGGACCATTGTTAAGTCCCACACAGGATTCCAGTGGGCAGAGGCAGTGGGACCAACCGGCCTCCTCCCTCTGAACACGTCATCCAGGGACCCATGGACCTGGAGGACCTGTCTTGGGAGTGTGAGCTCAGCCCAGGGTTGGGTGAAGGAGGGCAATGCCATCCGTCAGCTCAAAGGGCAACAAGCTCAGCCTCAGGCCAGAATGCTCCCATAACAATCCCATGGGGAGTGGCCCCTCCAAGGTCACACATACCCAGACCTGACCTGGGGACAGGTGGACACACAGCTGTACATGCACTACAAGAACAGGTATGTACCTCTGCTCACAACACCAAGCCCACAAATGCCCCCACACACCACCTCTCATAAATGCAGCGCTCCCTGAAAGTAGACTCACTCACCCACATGTGCATGCAAACACACAGGTGCACACATGCACACACATGCATGCCCGCATATGTGCACATACAAACACATGTGTGTGCACATGCACGTGCAAACACACGGGTGCATACACATGCACGCCCACAGGCATACATCTCACCTTGTACTTCCACTTGGCCTCTGACTTGCTCTTGGTTTGCTCTCGGATTTCCAGCCTCTCCACATCGTTCTGTGTGCTGATTACCTCCTTGTTGGGCACACTCAGGACGCTCTTTGTGGCCTAGAAAACAGCAGCCATAACTCAGTGGTGGACATGGGAGGGCAGGGAGCTACCTTAGGCTACAGGACAAAACAAGAATCACAGAGTCCCTCTCTCCTCCAGGCCCATATGCAGCAGCTCATCCATCCATCCATCCATCCACTATCAATCCACCCACCCTTCTATTCATCTATCCATCCACCCATCCACCACCTATGCACTCACCCATCCATCCATCCATCCACCATCCACTCACCCATCCGCCCACTAATCTATCCACCTTCCATTCACCATGCACCTTCCATCCACTATGCACCCTCCCACCCACCCATCCATCCATCCATCCATCTATGTGCCCTTCCATCCACCAACTATCCATCCACCTGCTTTTGTTTTCCTCCTCCCTCCCTCCTTCCTTCCATCTGTTCATTCATTCATTTATCTACTCTCTTTGCCTTAAGCAAGGGAAACCAGGTATCCCACTGCGGCCCTGCAACACTGGTCCTGGTGGTTGCAGACCTCCTGGAAGGTTAACAGCTCTCCGCCAGCAGCAAATCACTCTATGAGACCTGGCCTCAGAAATTCATGGCCCCTGAAGCCCATACTTAAAACCTTCTGATTAAATGGTGGGTCCTCAGGGCCAGGCCTGCCTCTCTTGCTGCCCACAGGGTCTCGGGCCCCCACTGCCAGTCTCCCTCCTGCTCCCCACTGCCCTCCACTTGGTGCCTCACTCACCTTCAGATCTCAGCCAATGTCTGGGTCCCAAGAAGATTCAGCCAGCTCACTCCCCGGGTGACCCTCCATGCTGCCACCCTGCCCCAGCTCAGACACTGCTGCCTTTGTCGTCATGGTCTCTCCCCAGCTGCCCACCACCCTAAGCTTGGGAAGAGCCCATCTGCCCTGGGTCCCAGGAACAAGAACAGGCAGCTGCAGCTCCATCGACAGGCCTGGCCCCAGAGGTGGCTGCGGGCTAACTGACCACAGGTGGGGAGGCAGCCACTCACCTTGCCCTTCTTAGGTGGCTCGATCTTGGTCAGTGCCTCCTTGGTGTGGGCCTCCAACAGGTCCAGGTTGGGGATGGTGGGCGAGGCTGACCCCCTACACTTCTTCCCTTTCTTCTTGCCCCCATCCTTGAGCTTCAGTGATTTAGGGGGCTTCGGGGGCTTGGGAGATTTGGGGGGCTTGGGGACTTTGGATGGCTTGGGTATCTTCATCGTTTTGGAAGTCTTTTTTTTGGACACTTTCTCCAGGAAGGAGCGAGGAGGGCTGGCTTCAATGGGGGATGGAGGTTCCTCCTTCTCTCGGTCCCCAAAACAGACCTCATTCGAGATCGCAGAAGTCACTTCTGGTCTGGCAGCCTTGGAGGCATTCTGAGCAAAGGAAAGAGGTAACCAACCATCTCCTGTCAGAAGGGGATCATGGCCCAGGCCATGGGAGACATTCAAGCAGAGAAGGAGCATGCATTTACACCACTGTGTGTACACTCACATCTATCTATACCATCCACATGGCACAGCACATCCATCTACACCATTGTGTGACATGCCTACATCCATCTATACCATCATCCATGTGATACACTCACATCTATCTATACCATCCACATGACACAGCACATCCATCTACACCATTGTGTGACATGCCTACATCCATCTACACCAGTGGTTGGCAAACTGTGACTCGCGAACCACATGCAGCTCTTTGGCCCCTTGAGTGTGGCTCTTCCACAAAATACCGACTTCTGTGCATGGGCCATGAAGTTTCAATCGCACTGTACATGTGCGCCCGCATGTGGTATTTTGTGGAAGAGCCACACTCAAGAGGCCACAGAGCCGCATGTGGCTCGCCAGCTGCAGTTTGCCGACCACGGATCTACACCATCATTCATGTGATACACTCACATTCATCTCTACCATCCACATGACACAGCACATCCATCTACACCATCATGTGACATGCTTGCCTCTGTCTATACCATCTGTGTGACACGTCCACACTATCCATGTGCCATGGCCACATTCATCTATACCATCAGCTACCTGATTCCTCTACCTCCTGTGGGTACCCCTGGCAGGGCTGGAACCATCCTCCCTCACGCCCACCGGGAGCTGCAGAGGAGCCCCCTTTCCACCTCTCACTCCCTAAACTCCCACCAGGAGATGCAGCAGGGGCCTAGGAGTCTGAGCCCACATCTTGCAGGTGACCACATGGCCATTCCTGACAGGCAGCCCTACAGAGGGCCAGAGAAGAGAGGCCTCCCAGGACCAGGGCCAGCGGGCCCGAGTCAGCCCTACCTCGCTGAGCCGGATCTCTTTGGCAAGGTCTTTGATGAGCTGCGAGGGCTTGAAGTGCTCTGGGAGTTCATCTTCATGCTCTGCCAAAGCCTGCAGGACAGCCACGCACAGGGTCAACGGTCAGCCACTGAGTCCGGATGTGGATGCCCACCCTCTGTGCCACGCCCACCTCCCCTCCACCTCCCACCCACAGGGGCCCAAGCATGCTCAGCCTCTGATTCCTGACTAACCCTCTCTGTCCCACCAGGCCCTGCCCTGCCCTGCCCTGCCCTGCCTACTGGGCCAGGACCTACCACTACCCCGACGGGCATGGGGCAGGGGCTGCCTGCATGGGGTGCTGGAGAAATCAGCCCACTCCAGCCAGACACTGCCCTGACAAGAAAGCTCTGCCATGACCCCACTCTATAGATGGAGAGCCTGAGTCCCCGAGAGGACGAGGTACCCAAAGCCACCACCAGCTATGGAGTGAATGTGGGCTGTCTTCTTCCTGACACAAGGCCGCTCTCCTGGCTACCTGCTGCGGTGAGGCAGGAGGGATGCCACGCACTGCTCACTCTAAGCCTTAAGGCCAGAGAAGATGTGGCCACAGGATAGCGTTGGGGGGGCACTGGCCACCCACCCACCAGGCCCACCCATTAGAGAAGCAAGAAGCACACAGGTGTTCCCCTCCTGGCCCCACCCCCTCCTGAGGGCCTGCTCAGACAGTGCTGGCTCCCCTCTGGGGGACAGGATGCTGCCACAGACAGTGCCCAGGCTGATGGGGCCCTGCCCTCACTCTCTTCCCACAACCCAGGCAACATTCCAAGGGAAGTCTGAAGCTGCTTCTCTGGGGCCCCCATTGTCGGAAAACAGCTGCTGCATAGGAGCTAGTGAAGTGTTAACGTTCAATGTAGGGGCCACCGGACAGTGGGGGGCACAGGACAGTGGGGGGGGCACAGGACAGTGGGGGGGCACAGGACA